AGTTAACTCCGTAAAAATGGACTAATTTTAAACAATACGTAAAATTAATAATAGAAGATTGGTTCAGTAAAATTGCAAAAAAATTGCAATCCTTACCATATTCTTCTATTAACGGGTTAACTCTGAGAATCAATTTCTCATTCACCCTTTACCATTTTTGGCGTATAAATTATCAAAACATTTATCTCATTTAAGAGAACACACGTCCATTAATTAACAGTTAAAATCGTTAGTGGACCTATTGACAAATATACCCAAGTTGGTCCATTTAATGCCCTATTAAAATGCCAAAAATTCCAACAATCTACCAAATGAATGAAAAATTGATTTGGGGGTCGACAACATCCCACGGTTGAAAACCTGCAAAGAACAGGTAAGTGTCTCCACATTTGAACATGTCCCTTGTAAAGTATACCTTCTTTACTAGATTTTCAGTAGAACGCGATGTCTTTGAACTGTATTGCCGTTTGTGTAAACGATAGTATACCATACACAAATTCCAACCAAACGTCGTTCTGTTCTCATGGTTGTACCCATTTTGGTCGTGGGACACGCGCCTGGTTCTACGAGAGTGTTTAGAGGATTAAGCCCAAGATCCTCCATTTGAAGCGACCACACTTCACTCTTACATATGTGATTCTTTAAGAGTATCCCGATTACTCCACTTAGACCACCGTGTCTATTGTTTAAGAATCATTAAAGCATATTTATATGCTAACCTCATCATTTTCAAGAGTCACTGTCTTCAGCATGAACAGAAGGGACTGACCGGAGGTTCCGGTACTGCCCCCACAGTGACCACGCTTCATCCTACAAGTAGGTTGTCCCATTGAACTTGGGTACCTGCCAGGTTGGGTTTTCCTTCATAGGACTGTCCTAGCACAAGGCTTCAAACCCATTCTTGCCACCAACTTCTCATGCAACTCATTTGTTAACCCTTTGGTTAGCGGATTCGCCAGATTATCTTTTGACTTCACATAGTTAATTGTGATAATCCCAGTTGTGAGAAGTTGTCAAATGGTTTTGTGTCTACGACGAATATGTCTAGACTTACCATTATACATATTACTCTATGCACGTCCTATTGCTGATTGACAATCACAATAGATGCAAACTGGTGGGACCGGTTTATCCCATCTTGGAATGTCCTCTAGAAAGTGGCGTAGCCATTCAGCTTCCTCACCATATTTGTCTAAAGCTACAAACTCAGATTCCATTGTAGACCTAGAAATCACTATAAGCTTTGAGGATTTCCAAGATATTGCTGCACCCGCTAGCATAAAGACATATCCACTTGTGGACTTCAAGTCTTTACTATCAGATATCCAATTCGCATCCGAGTATCCTTCCAGTACCGGTGGATATCTCGAGTAGCATAATCCATAGTCACGTGTATACCGCAGATATCTCATCACACGTACAAAGCGTTCCAGTGCTCATCACTCGGATTGCTGGTGTATTTACTCAACTTACTTATGGAACATGCTAAGTCTAGTCGAGTGGAACTCATTAGATATATCAAACTTCCAATAACTCTCGCATACTCGATTTGAGAGTTACTGGAACCTCGGTTTTTAGCCAGGTGTGCGTTGACGTCCAACGGCGTCTTCGCTACTCCAACGTCATCCTTGTTGAACTTATCAAGGATTTTATCAATATAATGGGATTGGCTCAGTGTTAGACCCCCAGGTCTTCTCACAATTTTAATTCCAAGAGTTACCTCAGCCACACCCATATCTTTCATGTCAAATCTGTTGACCCTTGTGTTTTGATAATGAAAACTATCTCATGGGCTTGGCACTTTGGATGTTGATCTTCACAATCATGCGTTGGATCTCAAGACAAGTGTGAAGATATAGTGTTTTTGGTTTTCGTTTTGATCTTAGCATTTTTGTTAAAGTGTATGGCATGTTAGTTGTTCTTCCCTCCTTGAAAATGTTTTTCAAAAACCCTTCAAATTGTTTTTGAGTCAATTGAAAAATAACATTTTCAAAACTGTGAGAACTATTCGAATAACTATTGTTTTACTCGAATAAGTCTGAGTTTTCAGTTCTGTCTTATTCGGATAAATCGCATATTATTCGAATAAGTCCTGACTTTCATTTCTTCAATCCTACAGTGATTTAGTCGAATAAACCTTAATTTATTCGAATAAGTCTGCATTCTTTGCTCTGTCCTATTCGGATAAATATGATTTTATTCGAATAAGTCGTCAGTTTCAACTGCAGTTTTGTCAGTTTTAAAGGGAGTTATCCATCCGTATCTTCAACAACTTACCTACAACGGCTCTTTTGCTTGAAGAACATTATATACATCCATTCAAACATATTCTTTTATTAATCCAAGCAATTCAATTCATACTTTTGATCCTTCAACATTACTTCCAAGCAATTCTTCAAGAAATCAATATTTGCTTGAGTTTTGGAGAGTACTAGTGTGCCATACTCTATAAGATCTTGTATTCTACAGCAATCCACTCTTAATTTGAAGAGTATTTCCGCTGTGCACTTTGTTTTTGGAACGGTGTGTGAATTGTAAAAACTTGAAGTTGTTATAATTCAAGTTTTGGAGAGAAATCCTAAGTCTTGTGAAATCAAGACTTCGGTGGAAAGGTTAGAGGCTTGCGNAGGCCGAACCAGGATACATCGTGTGTTGCTTCTTCTCTTCATCTTTGTGTTCTTGTGGTTGATATACTCCTGCGAATTTTTAGTTCTTCCAAAGGTTTTGATTTTTGAAGACACCTCTATTCACCCCCCCTCTAGAGGTGCGTAAGTTATTCAACAAAGTCGCGAGTTAAAATGTCTTTGGTAGACTTGACCATCTTGTCATCGCTACCAACTATGAGTATGTCGTCTACATATAGACACAACATGACATACCCTTGGGATGTGTTTTTTAGATAAACACACTTGTTTGATTCATTAATTTTGAAGCCAGAGTTCATCATTACCTGGTCAAACTTCTCATGCCATACTTTTGGCGCTTGTTTAAGACCATATAATGACTTAACAAGTTTACATACTTTCCTTTCTTAACCAGGAACTATAAACCCGTCTGGTTGTTCCATGTAGATCTCTTCTTCTAGATCTCCATTAAGGAAAATTGTTTTCACATCCATTTGATGAACTTCTAAATTCCGCAAGGAAGCTATTGCAAGTATCATCTTAATGGAATTTATCCTTGACACAGGGGCATATGTATCAAAATAATCAAAGCCCTCACGTTGATTGTAACCCTTAATTACAAATGTGCCTTTGTACTTATCAATGGAACCATCTGGTTTCATTTTCCTCCGAAAGATCCACTTAGAACCTAACGGGTTGCATCCAGGAGGTAGATTCACTAACTCCCAAGTGTGATTCTGCATAATAGAATCAACTTCACTTTTAATGGCCTCTTTCCACTGAGGGCCTTCAGACGAAGTCACTGCTTCATGATAAGTTCGTGGTTCATTTTCTAATAGACATTTTAGAATATCGGGTTCAGTCTCTATCAGAAATGATAGAGTCCCCAATTCAAATTCCAACAAATAAGTTAGAAAATCATTACCAAAGGACTTCTTAGTGTGTGTCCTTTTACTTCGTCTAAGTTTAGTCTCAGTTTCGGTTTCATCAATTATACCAGTATTAGACTGATCCGAGGAACCATCGTTCAACATTTCATCATGTAAATGCTTGGACGAACTTGCTTCTTCCCTCGACTTTAACGGAAATATATTTTCGAAGAATGTTGAATTCCTCGATTCCATTATCGTGTTCTTATGTATTTCTGGATTATCACACCTATACACTAAGAATCGATACGCGCTACCACTGTAGCCAATAAAGATTCCATCAACAGTCTTTGGACCAATATTTATTTTCTTTGGTGGTGGTGCTAAAACTTTTGCAAGGCACCCCCACACTTTCAGGTATTTATAGGAAGGTTTCCTATTATACCACAACTCGTAAGGAGTCTTATCGAGTTTCTTTCGGGGTACTTTATTTAACAAATATTTGCTACATAAAATAGCCTCCCCCATATATTTTGGGGTAGCCCTGAACTGAGTAACATCGCATTCATCATATCTTTGAGAGTGCGCTTTTTACGTTCCGCCACACCATTTGATTGGGGTGTGTATGGCGGAGTTACTTGATGCACAATTCCTTGTTGTGCACACAAATCGGCGAATGGAGCTACGTACTCCCCGTCCCTATCACTCCTAATCGCTTTAATTTTGCGATTGAGTTGATTTTCTACTTCATTCTTATACCGAACGAAAGTGTCCAACCCCTCATCTTTACTTTTAAGTAAATAAATATAGTAGTACTTCGTGCTATCATCGACAAAAGTGATAACATATTTGTTACCACCTCTTGAAGGCGTTGCTTTGAAATCACACAGATCCGTGTGAATTAAATCAAGTGGCTGAGTGGTTCATTCAATTGTTTTAAACGAACTTCGTGTTGACTTTGCTTCGACACACGTCTCACATTTGTGGGATAGGTCGATGTCAAACTTAGGGATATATTCCATGTAAATTAATTTTCGAAGAGATGCATAATTAACATGTCCTAGTCTTCCATGCCACACATTGGAAGACTCACAAACATAGGCAATAGGAGTTTTATTAATTTTCTCAACAACAGTGAGTACATTAAGCTTAAAAAGCCCATCAATATATAACCTTTGCCTATGAATATTCCCTTTTTGCTCAAGATCAGCTTATCAGACTCGAACACCATGCGGAATCCATGTTTGTTCAATAGTGAGCCTGACACCATGTTTTTCTGTATGTCCGGCACATACAACACATCATTCAGCGTGAGCTCCTTTCCGGATGTCATCTTGAGCTTAACTTTGCCCACGCCTTGAACCTCGGATTGGGCAGAGTTGCCCATCCACACCTTGTCGCTAGAAGACTCCTTAAAGTCAAAGAGCATGGCCCGATTGGAGCAGATATGACGAGTGGCTCCAGTGTCAACCCACCACTCTTTCGGGTTAGACCCGACCAGGTTGACCTCTGTCACGACAGCACAAAGGTCCATAGCATCTAGCTCCGAGCAGAGAGCTTCTTCCTTTATCTGCTTCTTCTTCTAAGGCTTCTTGCGGCACTCTGAAGAACGGTAGCATTTCCCCGCGAACTTAGTCTTCGCGACACCTCCTTTAGGACCAATTTTCTTCTTGTCCTTATTTGGCTTGGGCCCTTTGGAAGAACCCTCTTTGGGTGGATGCTCCACCATATTGGCCTTAGCAATAGCTACTTTCTTCTTGCGAGTGAGACCCTCTTCACGGATCCAGAGATAAACAAGCAACTGTTCTAAAGTCATCTCTTTCCGTTTGAGCTTGAGATAGCTCTGGAACTCATCCCAAGCCTGCGGGAGCACATGAATAATCGCCACCACTTGGAATGCCTCACTGACTCCCATTCCCTCGTGAGTGCACTCATTAAAAATGAGGATCAATTCTTTAGCTTGACTGACCACGGGTTTGGAATCTACCATCTTAAAATCCAAAACCTTACCGACAACGAATTTCTTCGCATCGGCACCCTCGGCCTGGCATTTGTTAGACAGTGTAGTCCATAACTCCTTTGCGGATGCAGCCCTACTATAAACAGCATATAAGGCATCGCTCAAGAAATTCAGGATAAGGTTAAGGCACGTATAGTTATCCGTTATCCATGCCTCTTTAGCCTGAACTATTGCCTCGTCCACGTTCTTCCCCACAACAAGGGGATCCTCCCTCAAGTACCTCGCAAGGTTGAGGGTGGTCAGCCAAAATAACATCCTTTGCTACCATATTTTAAATCCAACATATGTGAACTTTGTCAGTTCTTTGACAGAGTTCGCATGCAGCATGACAGTAGGATGTCTGACCGGTGCGGATGTGAAGACACCCGTGTTCGGTTCAAGTGAGGGAATGACCGGTATGGCCGAAGCCATATTCGGTCTGAGTGGGGTGACCATTGCGGCCATAGCCGCGGTTGGTCTAATAACCAAGGTGACCAGAGCGGACCCCATAGTCGCGCTCGATCCCATGAAGGTGGTGATCGGAGTGGACCCCACGGCCGCACTCGATCCAAAAGGAACGTTGATCGGAGTAGTCTGCCCAACAGAGCCACCCAATCTAGCCGAAACGTTCAGAAATGGAGTCTCGGAACTACTCCCGTTTCTGGTGTGAGCGTCAAAACCGAATCTGTCCATACCCGCCATCGTGCACGGATATGACTACTACCTTAAGATTATTACAAATCTCGTACGGATTACAACGGACGGGGAAGATGAATGGCCCTGGAAAATAAAAAATAAATAAAATTCTGAATTTATAACTTATTCAGAATATTACAAAATAAACAAAGTTGAAGATAAATTTCTATATCTTCAAACTTCCTTGTTGTTCGAGGACATTAAGCACTGGACAGCAAGGACATTAAGCACTGGACAGCAAGGACGTTATGTACTGGACAGCAAGGACATTATGCACTGGGCTGCGAGGACATTATGCACTGGGCTGCGAGAACATTATGCACTAGGACAGAATGTAGCGAGGTCTTTATGAACTAATCCTACAAACAAAACACCACGGAAGGACAGCAGAGTCGCCGGAGCTATCCTTAAGATAGTAGCGCCCGCCTACCGTACTGGAAAAACGTGGGCACTCTCCTCCAGGATAAAACCGCTATCGTGTGTGGAGATTGTACGGACCAACCACACACCAACTAACAAGAACAACGTAGGAACGTTGGCGACCAAAAAACTTTAAAGGGGATGGTCGGAAATTTGGCCGGAAAATCAAGAGCTCTCTCTAAAAGAAAACAAGAAAGTATTTTCTCTTTTCTTTTTCTCTTCCTCACGCATGAAAACCCACACCATGGAGAGTCCCCTTAATTTGTTTTTATAACTAAGGAGTTTAAAAGGTGTAACTCCTACACCATTAACCCTTAGTATTAATCATGACATTTGTGACACACTAATGGTGTGTTAATGGTGATTAATTAGCCATTAACACGTCCGTTACGCTACGCTCTGTTTAAACTTTGTCTCGAGTAATTGGAGATTAATGACCAGTTAACTACGTAAATATGGACTAATTTTAAACAATACGTAAAATTAATAATAGAAGATTGGTTCAGTAAAATTGCAAAAAAATTGCAATCCTTACCATATTCTTCTATTAACGGGTTAACTCTGAGAATCCATTTCTCATTCACCCTTTACCATTTTTGGCGTATAAATTATCAAAACATTTATCTCATTTAAGAGAACACATGTCCATTAATTAACAGTTAAAATCGTTACTGGACGTATTGACAAATATACCCAAGTTGGTCCATTTAATGCCTATTAAAAATTCCAAAAATTTCAACAAGTGTTTTGGATAAAATTTTAACGGTGCATATCTTTTTGAAAGCGCTAACGCTAAACGCTACACGTAGATAGTCTTTTCAAAACGCTAACGCTAATCTCTAATGTTATTTCATTTGAAGAATTTACTTAAATAGCACTAAAAATAATGACTTTCCCTAAATAGCATCATATGTGTTTTTCCTAATGTAGCACTTTTAGGCATTATCCATTACTCATTATTCAAGTAAATGTTTTGCCATCATTGGACATTATTCCTTCTTCTAGACATTATTAAGTACTATTTAGGAAATAAAACATTTTAAGTGCTATTTAGAAAAATGACTTAAGTTTTAGTGATATTTAGTGCAAATATTTCATTCCCAAATAGGCTCTTTAATGAAAAGTGAAATTGATTTAAAAGACAGATAAAAAGTAAAAGTATAAATTTATTTTGGGACAAGGTGCATGTTAAAAAGGTGGAGGACCATGGTATATAGGATTCCTTACCATGATATACACACGATTACAGAGTAACATTGGACATCACAAATGAAATATTAATGTCACTATCGTATCTGAAAACTAAAAAGGATGAGCCTCATATCATTCTCGACTCTCGAGGGTCCTTTGAGATTTAGCTGAACAGTCACCGAGAAAAAGTAAATTAAACTTTAATCATAAATTGATGATAGAGAGTGTAGACTATTGTATTTCAACGTTTTGGGAAGGGGGCGTTGAGTTGAGAGTGAGTGAGGTTTGGTGGGGTTAGGAAATAAGAACGATTTTCATGTCTAACGAAGGAAATCATCCCCTAATAAGGAATAAAAAAGATAAGTATTGATGGGAACCAAGCCCATCGAGAGAATACCAGCAAATTGGGCCTAGGCCCAATCTAGATCCCGTCCATCAAAAGGAGAATCCGGCCCAGATAAAATATATTGGGCCGGTTAAGGAAAGTTGTCTGTAAAGAAAGATAGGAAAAAGAATAAGATTGGGGACTTAAGGATGGGCTGAACCCCAGCTCACTATAAACAAGCCACCCAAAAGGAAGAAATCCTACAGAGGAATTAGGGTAAGTCGCCCCTCAACAGGAGGGACAAAGACAAGGAGTAAGAGACGGACGAAGGACAGAGATCTAAATAAGAGATGGACGGGCATGTTTGTCCTTTAGTGGACGGTTTCAAGCTGAGATACATCCCTCCGGGAAAAGCAAGGATGGCTTGAATATCCTCCCCAACCACCGCGAATATTTTGATGAGATGGTGGCTGGGGAGCGCCTATAAAAGAAGGATGGACTAAGAGAGGAGTGATCATCTTGTAATAGAGAGAGAGAATCCTTAAATAATAATAAAAGATACACCGGCGATCCTTGAGTATATTCCGATCCCTAAGTGGACCGAATAGAGGAAGGGATCACCGGTTTGAATTCTTATTCTGTGAGCAATACTTTCCATTACGATCCATTACTATTCTTGCATTATTTCTCACCATTATAAGGCCCGGATATCAATAGTTGGACCTGGGCCGATCTACACTCCCAGGGAAAATATTGGGTATCCATCACTCGCTCCACCCGTGGGACCGATTGAAACTTCCTAGCCTTCTGGAAATTTGATAGCAAGCCTATCTCATTTCTGTTCACTTGGAAGACCTTCCCCTAACTTTGGGACAATCAGCGGTCTGTCCAAGTGAAAGGGATAAGTTCGCGATCCATCCATAAAGACTCTTGGTGATAATCGGTCCATCACATAGGACCGCTCTCATAAGTCAGTCATTCAGGAGGAGCGATTCCGTGCATAAGGACCGCTCTCCCATATCGGTCCCTCTTTTCCATCAAAGAAGGATTCCAATTGTCATCATGGGAAAAAATCGGTCCAAGAGAAACAGAATCGCTGCTAAGGCGCGAACTAACTTGGAAGGGAGAGAAAAGCTTTTGTCTCAGGATCTCAAGCATCAAATAACTCTCTCCCAATCCAGGCATGAAACACAAGACAAATCTTGTGAACAGAGTTTACACTCTAAAGCCCCTAAGAGTTCTCATCCAAAAGACTCCCAAGCAGCAACGGAGAGGTTCGATGCCAACTCCCCTATCGTCCGAAAATTAATTGGATGGCTCAACAAGGAAGAAGAGGTCTGGTCCCAAAGGACCCAGAGGGAGACGAGCCAAGGAGAGGGTGAGGAGGTGGAGAGCCAAGGACGCATATCAGTGCACAAGAGGATGCGCAAAAATGCATCCCAGAGGCTAGGACCCAGAACTGAGGAATCTAGAGAAAATTCTAAGGAGCCCAGCAATGAAGATGCCAGAGATATCCTCAAACTGAGGAAAGAGATGGAGGAACTAAAAAGGAAAATTGATAGGGATGAGTCTTTTGGGCCCACTGTGGAGGTAATTTCTCCCTTTACTGCCAGGGTGATGAAAGCTAAGCTGCCCAGGGGTATGAAGGCCCCCGAAATCCGTTACAAAGGAGTCACTGATCCCAATGATCACTTGGCCGCGTATCAAACTCACATGTTGATGCACGCGGTGGAAGACGAAATCCAATGTCGCCTTTTTGTAGGGACTTTGGAAGGACCGACTGTAAAATGTTTCCTCACTCTCCCAAATGGGACCATTGATTGCTTCAAAGATCTCACTCAACTCTTTCTTGATGTTTATGGAGGAAGGTTCCAGCCAAAGAAGCACTTCACTCATCTCTTCTCCCTGAAGCAAAAGGAGGGAGAGACCAACACAGAATTGGTGCAAAAGTAGAATGAGGCAATCAATGAGGTGGAACCCATGGACGATAAGACTTCCATCGCTCTATTCATGAGTGTACTGAGATTGGGAGAATTGTTTAGAAGGTTAGATTATGATACCCCTACTTCCTACAAAGCTATGATGGCTAGGGTCAACAAGTTTTGCGCCACGAAAGAATCAGATCGCCTAAAGGGTAAGAATGAGGGAGCCTTGCACAAAGGTTTATACAAAGAGAAGAAAGGCGAGAAAGCTAAGGCAACCGCTCTCTCCATCCCTACCCTTAAGCCACTGGCCGCACCGGTGGCAGAAATTAATAGTAAGGAGGGGGGTGGACAGAAGAGGAAACGTGGAGATAAAAAAAGAAAGCAGTGGCCCTACGACATAGACAAATCTTGTAACTTCCACAGAAGGGCCGGACACGCCACGGAGGAGTGCATGTTTCTCAAAAAGATGGAAAGAAAGATGAAGGAAAGGGGACCGAATGTTAACCAAGAGCCAAACCAAGGGGGTAATGTTTGGCGTAGGGACGCCCAACCTCAACAACAAATCCAGGAGAACCCGGAAGAATTCCCCCAATTAGGAGTCATCTTTGGCGGTCCAGAAACGGGAGTCACAAACAAGGAGAGGAAGGAATGGGCCCGCAAGCTATATGTGGGGTCCATTGACGTGGGCCAAGTGGCCAAGAAAGGAAGAAGGGAGCCCATTTTCTTCTCCGACGAAGATTTTCCATTCATTTCTAGTCCTCACCGGACCCCCCTAGTAATTTCTATGGCTATTCACAAATTTTTTATCAAAAGAATATTGGTGGACACAAGGAGCAGTGTCAATGTGTTGTATTGGGAGGCGGCCCAGCAACTGGGAATCAGAAAGGAAGATCTCACAAGGCTTAATATGCCCTTGCCCGGTTTCACTGGAGACATAATCGAACCGGAAGGGTCCATTAAGCTAGATGTTATCATAGGCGAGCATCCAAAGGTGAGGCATATGAAGATGGATTTTGTGGTAATTGATATCAAGTGTGCCCATAACGCCATCTTAGGGAGGCCTAGACTAGAGGACTTAGAAGGGGCCCTGTCCCTTGAACACTTATGTTTCAAGTTCAGGACTCCCGAAGGTATTGAAAGAGCACTTGGTGACCAACCCGCGGCCAGGAAGGCTTATCTAAACGCTTGCAAGAGGATAGACAAGGAGAACCTTAACATCCAGACCATTGGACAAGCCTTGAAAGATAAAGAAAAGAAAGAGGAAGACCGGGAGATGCCTAAGCCAGCTGTGGAGATGGAAGAAGTGATGTTATTCCCTAACAGAGATCCGTAGAAGGTCGTAAGGATCGGCCTAGGGTTAGAGGAGGATACCCGTGAGGAGATTATTCGAGTACTAAGAGAAAACTTTGTCCTCTTCGCATGGGAATCCAAAGATATGCCCAGAGTCGATCCTTCAATCATTTGCCACAAGTTGAATATCAAGATGGATTCCCTCCCGGTCAAGCAGAAGAAAAGGTATCTGTCCACGGACAAAAAAGAATTTGTGAGGAAGTAGGTAAAAACCCTTTGGAGGCTAGCCACATTAAAGAGGTCCATTATCCTAAGTGCCTCACTAATGTGGTGCTAGCACCAAAGGGGGACACATTTCGCATGTGTGTGGACTTTATGAACCCCTTTCCCCTTCCAAGAGTGGATCAATTAGTGGATGAAACGGCGGGTCATGAACTGTTGAGTTTCATGGATGCCTTCAGAGGATACCATCAAATTTTCATGCACAGAGAGGATGCGGAATCCACGGCCTTTATCACCCCTGAAGGAGTATATTGTTACGTGGTCATGCCCTTTAGACTGCGTAACGCAGGGTCCACATTTACAAGAATGATCTCCTTATTATTCAAGAAGGTCTTGGGACAAATCATGGAGGCTTATGTGGATGACTTATTGGTAAAAAGTAAGAAGGTAGCTGACCATCCTCAACACTTGGAAAGATGTTTCAGCATCATGAGGAAGCACAATTTGAGGTTAAACCCTAAAAAATGTGCGTTTGGGGTCCAAGGAGGAAAATTCCTTGGGTATATGGTGAGCAAGAAAGGAATTGAAGTCAATCCGGACAAGTTGAAGGCCATCCAATACATGGAACCCCCAACAAATTTAAGAGAGGTCCAGAGGTTAGCATGAAGGATAGCACCCTGGGGAGATTCTTGGCACGGTTCGCAGAGCGGTCCCTACCCGTTTTTACAATTTTTAAGGGAGGGGGAAATTTCCAGTGGACCGCAGAGTGCCAAGAAGCTTTTGAACACTTGAAAGCATATTTGAGCTCTCCACGGGTCCTCTCCAAGCCGCTGGCTTGGGATGTCCTCTTCTTATATTTAGGAGTGGCCCACTTAGCAGTGAGTTTGGTCCTCTTGGGGGAAGAAGAAGGGGTCCAAAGGCCAGTTTACTACACCAGTAGGGCCTTAAGAGGCCCGGAAACAAGGTACACCCCCTTGGAAAAATGTGTCCTGGCAGTGGTGGTGACTGTGAAAAGGTTAACTCCCTATTTCCAAGCCCATCCAGTGAGAATCATGACAGACCAAACTTTGGGAGGAGTTTTGAGGGACCCATCCTCCTCTGGAAGGGTCATCAAGTGGGCCATGTTCCTCTCTCAATATGATATTTCTTACCAGCCCCGTTCCATCAAGAAGGGCCAGGTCATTGCAGATTTCGTGGTGGAGTGTACAGCCAGAGGGTAGACCAAAGAGGACGGGACGAACCAGGAAAAAAAGGGAAATGTGGGAAATACACTCTCATGGATCCTGCACCAAAGACGGATCAGGAGGAGGAGCGGTCCTCACCTCTCCTGAAGGCTTCAAGGCCTATCATTCCTTCAAGTTCATGTTTCGGGCCACCAACAACGAAGCAGAATATGAGGCCCTCATCGGGGGAATCCAGGTTGCCCTATTCATGAAGATAAAGAATATTCACCTCAAATTTGACTCAAAACTAGCCATTGGGCAGCTAAAAGGAGAAATGGAGGCAAAGGAAGGAAGGCTGAAGAAATACAGAGACTGCGCCAGGAGCCTACTTGGAAAATTTGAGTATTATGAACTCATATATGTTCCAAGAGAGGAAAATGAAGAGGCGGACATGCTTGCCAAATTGTGTAGGACCGTCCCTGTCCACATTGAAAGCATGGTGAGGCAGCATTGGAAGACTTGTCCTGTTTGGGAAGAGGCGGTCCCTGTCCTTGAGATATCCGGTCCAGGTACAACATGGATGAGCCCCCTATCCACATACCTTGAAAAGGGAGAGCTCCCTGTTGATCCCAAGGAGGCCCGTAGAGTCCAATTGCTGGCTCCTAAGTATTAGTTGGATGGAGGGAGATTATATAAAAGGACCTTGGGTGGACCGATGCTCAAGTGTTTGAGTGAAAGAGAAGCGGGAAGAATACTGGAAGAGGTGCACCAAGGAGTCTGTTCTACCTATCAAGGTGCCCTCACTTTGACAAGAAAGGTGATACTCCAGGGGTTTTATTAGCCCACTTTGAAGAAAGATGCACTGGAATTAGTGAGGAAATGTCCAACTTGTCAAGCATTTGCACCAATCCCTGGACGCCCATCCACCTTTTACACCCCTGTCACTACAGTTATCCCTTTTGCTAGATGGGGGTTGGATTTGGTGGGTCCTTTCGTCCAGGGGGTTGGGAGGAAGAAATTTCCCATCGTGGCAATAGATTACTTCACCAAGTGGATCGAAGCGGAGGCCCTTGTGAAGATTACGAAGGAAAATTGTCGGAAGTTCGTGTGGAAAAATTTGCTATGTCGGTTTGGTGTTCCTGAGCAAATCATAACGGACAATGGCACTCAATTTGCTAGCACAAGTTTCAAGGAATTCTGTGATGCATGGAAGATTAAACTCAGTTGAGCGGCCGTAGCCTACCCACAATGCAACGGGCAAGTAGAGAATGCCAATAGGACAATTGTGGACGGTATTAAGAAAAGACTGCACGAGTTAGGCACCTCTTGGGTGGAAGAGCTGTCTTATGTGCTGTGGGCCCATAGAACTACTCCAAGGAGGGCCACATGAGAAACTCCCTTTGCCTTAACTTATGGTTTCGAGGCAAAGGTACCCACCGAGGTCTTAGTCCCTAGCATGAGGGTGGAGGCATACACCCCAAGCCTCAATGAGCAATTGATGGAAGTGGATTCCCATTTCACTCAAGAAAGGAGGGACGAAGCGGCAATAAAGGCGGAAGAATACAAACGCCAATCCAAAAGATATCATGACAAAAAAACCATACTTCGGACATTCGAAGTCGGGGATTGGGTCCTACGAAAAAGGGAGAAAAGTCAACCCACTAAAGGAGGGAAGTGGGCTCGGAACTGGGAAGGACTCTATCGTGTAGAGAGGGTTGTACGTGCAGGTACCTATCAATTGGCTACAGGTGACGGAAAAACATTGGACAACTATTGGAACGTGGAACACCTGAAAAAATTCTATCTGTAAAAGCTAATCCCTTCAAGGTTTCATCCTCCCATGAGTTTTTAAGCCTTTATTTTTATAAATGTTTTCTAATTCCTTTTGTTGCAAGAAAATGGAATGTACTTTGCTAAAAGAAAAGGAAATTCTCTTTATTCATACTCCTCCATTTCAATCCATGAGTCCCAAAAAAAAGAAAAAAGAGGGGACCGATCCTTTACAGTAAGGAATAAAATCAGAACAGAGGCGCATGAGGACCGATCCAAAGCAATTTCAATGATGGCCTAAGGATTAAGCTTGACGGAGGAGAGCAGAATTGAGAAGGCTCTGGTCCCATAGGCTCTGGGATGCCGGGGAATTTTAGCCAAGGATTTAAGCCATCAGAATAAGGCTCCAATCCACGGTAAAAGTTCTCATGGACTTCGAGCCCACCACGATAAAAAGCCCGGTCGTAGTCTGAAATACGATCAGCCTCCATCCGAGCCATATGCCCCTCATAAGTTAGATGCTCGCTCTCAAGTGAGCGCCGGGCCTCGTCGAGGGAGCTCCAAGCCGAACGCCTTTCCTCCAGAAGAGTCAGGTTGAGTTCTTCTACCTGTTATGAAAGTCGACGTTCTGTTTCCTTGTGTTGAAGGCGCCACTTCTGCTCAACCTCTTCCGCCGCCTTCTTCGCTGCCTCCTCGGATTTACGGCTCCACTTCTGCTCCAGCTCCTCCTCCGCCCTCCGTCGATGGATTTCGTCCTCTTCTCGGATCTATCGTTCATGCTCTCTGACCTGTCGTTCCATATCGGCCCTCACAAACTGCATCTCCTTCACGTCATGGGCCCGATTTAGGTCCCTCTGTCTAACCTTGGCCGTGAGCCGCTCGTTTTTAGAGGAGATCCAATCATTCTCTAATAAAACCCGATCATACTCCGGGCGCTTGTTGGGGACTTGTCGTGCGGTCCAAAACAAATTAAAAATTTATAAATAACCTTAGCTAACCCCCAAGATATAATCAAATAAAAACTATAGCTAGGGAAAGTAAGGGTCGATCCCACGGAGAAAGTTTGTACTTTTTAAAACCAATTTGGCATGCAACCACATTGTCACGAAATAAAAATAAAACTAACTACTACACATATGATAAGACGTATAAAACTTATAATAAAACATATTCAAATAAACATAAGAACTTATAAATATGACTTATATAAACAACGAACTTATAATATAAACTATAAAAACAAAACAAATACATAAGTATATAAAAGTAAATAAAGTATAAAAACGTATATTTATAACTTATAAACAATAACTTATTGAATAAACTTGGTAAATAAAAACTTATATTATAATTTAAAACACAAAGGGGGGTTGTTGGAATAAAAGTAAATATCTTTTGATTTTTAATATTTTTCTCTTTTTTTGGTTTTTTGATAAAATGGGGGAAAACAAGCTCTAAAGATAATCAACTCCTCCAACAAAGGTAACCCAAGGAACACCGCCAAAAACCCGAAACAAAATTAAAAAGAGAACGAACATAAAACGAACATTACACGTATAATAGGCACTTAGACAATATATTACGTAACTTACGTACTTAAAAATAGAAAAGAATTCAAAGGCTTGAGTTGAATCATATCCTTGACCACATATAGAGTATTGTCAACTCTCTATAAGGCCCGAGGTCAAAGATTCAAAGGCCTTTTGGTCACTTTGAACCCCCACTCACCTCAAGTGCTCAAACAATGATTCCAAAAGATGAAAAAGTTTATAAAAGAGCGAATCTTTCTTTCATTCTAACTCCCATGTACAAAGTATTCATGAAGAACATTTGATACACTTTAATAAACTTTATCGTCTAATGATGAAAATATTTTGCAGGTCTCCTTGAACAACTCAAGCATAAGAATTGTAATCTATTCACATAAAAGAACATTACATATTTTCAAAAACTTAAAAATTGTTTTTGTTCTTAAACAACCTTAAATTTTATGAAAACCAACACAAAACAAACGAACAACATAACAATCACTTCATAACGAATCTTAAGGAAAATGTCCAACTTATGGGGCTAAGAAGTCCATAATCCTTAAAATTTTACAAAACACATAGCACAACGAAGAATCACGTATGAATTCGGAAATCATTTAACTATAATATGGAGCTAAAATAGCTTCAACAAAAACCGAATTCCACATACCAACCTACTTATGAAATCAAACCGTGCGATTCAACCAATTCAACAACAACTTGCACAACAATTGAAGAAAACTAGTACGAATCAATTTTCATTCATAAGGGATTTAATATAAACATTAAAAAAACCCATAAAAGAACACCAACCATTTTGGAATTTTCGAAATTAACACAAACAAGGGAAACAAAGTGTAAATTTGAATTGAAACAACACTTTTACAAAGAAATTGGAGAAAGAAAAATAAATTGACAAATAAGGGTTACCAATTGTTGAAGAAGATGAAGAAGATGAAGAAATTGGAGCCATGACCGGAGTTGGAGATCGCCGCCCACCGCCGACCGGAGCTGCAGCCGCTACCGTCGTTGCCGCTAGTTGTCGCCTCCTCCACCGCCCACCGCCGCGGCTTGATCCGCGGCTCTCAATCGTCGATGTTCCCCACTTTGAATTGTGCAATTTGCCTTCAATTTATAGCATGAAGAGAGTTTTCCCGTTGAGAATTCGAGTGATATTGGAGCCGTTGGAGAGTTATTTAACACAACATTGATAGAGAGACGTTGGAGGAATTGGTCTTCAACCTTGGAGTTGTCTTCGCCGCTCGTTTCTCTTTTGACGAAGAACAAACATCGTTTCTTTCTTTTCTCTTTTTTTATTTCATTGATGGATCATAAATGGATGGGCTAAACACTTTTTTTTGATAATGGGTTTGGGCTCTGACCCAAATTCAATCTCTTTTTTCCAGACTTGATCTTCAATTTGGCTTCTTGCTACATTTTTCTCCAAAAAATAAGATATCTGATAACTTGGGTTAGGAAAAATAAACCAAACATAATATGATGTAAAAAAATGATTAAAAACAACAATTTTGGAAAGAAAATAAAAAGATTGTAAAAATAAGAATTAAAATAAAATTAAGCTAAAAGACTAAAAATTAAACTCTAAAATATTAAAAATGCCTAAAATTGAATAAAAAGAACTAACCCAAAAACGACTTATCAGCGCTCAACACAAATAGAGTGTTGGGATCGGAAATTGCCCAATTCCTGAGACAAAGCAGCGTTACGATCCAGGAGGCGGAGGGAATGGCGTTGGGTGGCAGAAGTGGCCACATACTCGGTCTGTCAAAAAAAGGAGAAAGTTACAATTAGCAATCATAAAATGCATAAAGAAGTGAATGAAGGACTGAGGATGAAGGAGATGAAGGGCACTTACCATCCGAGTATATTCCTCCAACATGAACGACCAGGTCGGACTATCAACCACATCTGGGTGGTCCCTCCAGAACTGTTGGATCTCTTGAAGACGATGGTTGAAGTTGGACCCCCTCAAGATCCCTGGAGGGAAATCGTAGAGACCGCCATCATCGGAGACGTCCTCGACTACCACCTCCTCCTGGACGAAAGGGTGGTTGGCAAGAGGCAGAGGTTGATCCCCGGCTGCGGACCCCACATCTTCGTCCTTAGAGTCCTCTTCTGGAGAAAGATCCCTTCGAGAGGATCGTCGCGACCCCTTGCGAAATCGTGTGGTCCTGAGGGGAGGAGCCCAAGAAGAAGTAGTGTTCCCCGATAGTGCTTGAAGAGAAACATCGGGAGACACCCAAAATCCGAGACCCCGGAAATACGAATCCTTAGAGAGAAGAGCGCGGGGAACCGGGTGACCGTTCTTAAGGAGGAGGCGGAAAACCTCCTCGAGGTCCGGGGTGCGAGAAGGAAAGGTGTGCGAAGGAAACTTATCCTCCTTCTTTCTCCATATGTTGGGAAAGGGGAGGTCCTCCGGGGCTATCACCACAAAGAAGCGGCGGAACCAATCATCGAGCTTATCGACTGGGCTCTTCAGGACTGCATGTCGGTCCAGGCCGTGAAACTCACGAACCCCCTGCCCGACTCACTATCATACTTGTGGTGGCGAAAGAAGGAGAGGAAGAGCCCCAAAGTAGGCTGGATGCCCTTCATGTGGCATCGAGCGAGGAAGCAGAAAAGGGACTCGTGAGAATTGGAGGAAATTTGGTCGGGAGGGATGGCATACCGGTTACAAATTTCCACCAAGAGAGGATGGAGGGGGAAATGCCACCCCATCTTGACCGAGTCATAGTGGACGATCAAACGGCGGGGAGTGTTCTGGTTGTGTTCCAAAGTAGCTCCATTGGCTTCCTGGACTTGGTAGTCGTGAGGAATCATTCCCCTCATCTCCCTTAGTTGTGCCGGGGTGATGGAGGAAACATTTTCATCCTCCTTGGCCTTCTTGTTGCCGTTGAAGAGCTTGGCAGCTTTAGAGAGAGTTTTCTTCATTTTGGCAGCTTTAGAGAGAGTTGTGCCGGGGTGATGGAGGATACATGGCTGTCTGGCATGTAAACGGTCATTGGACCGTTTTGAACCGTGCGTCATTCAAAGCTCTTGTCCCACCATGATAATGGTGGGACCGCTCGTAGAGGAAAAATGTCAGGCGTGGACCGCAGCTTGGGAAGAGACACCTGGAAGTGGACCGCAAGCCTGGAAAGCTAACACTTGGGAGTGGACCGTTTGGAGTCCGTGCCCACTTAAATGTCTGTGGCCCAATTTCCAAGGGTTGTAACGTTCCACGAAGGGATTTCTTGGAGTCCTTTCCCTTCCTTTATTGTAGGTGGACCGTTTCCTTCCCCTTCTATAAAATCGGTCCATTCCCTTCTCCTTATTCTCACGCCCTCATTACTATACATAGCTTTTTGCCTTCATATCTGTTTTCGGCCTTCTTTTTAAATTAACTTACCAATATATATTCCACCTCTTTAAAAAATGTTTTATCACTATTAGAAAGCTAAAACAACTAAAATTATATTTATAGAATCTCAAAAATTTAGAATATATACAAGCAAAGCACAGAGTTAACATTAGTTTAATACTTCCTCCGTCCCACTGTCTTTGTCCACTTACCTTTTGGCACACCATCCAATGCACTTCTTTAATCCATTTTATCTTGTAATTTGTATATTTAAAAATTATAAAAATTATATATTAATAATCTATATGTTAAGATGAATCAAACAAGATCACACATGACTATTTTTAGGCTTATACATTGAGAGAATTTGATGAGTCAAAGTGCTTAGATAAACAGTTCCAAAAATCAAAAGTGGACAAAGACAATGGAACGGAGGTAGTATAAATTTCAAGAATCATCACATAAACAAAGACTAGTCAAGATAGATTTTTTTTAAAAAGTATGGATATGAAATGTTATGAATAGGCTCGAACTTGACCCATTGATAGGCCTAGAGAGAGGACTTCTCAATCATGACCCGTACCACCTAAAATGAATCAAATTTTGTGTCGCAGCTGAGTGCCGGCCCATAGCTTGCTTAGGCTGTTCAATTGCACAGCCCCCCGATTGAAGTTGGAGTACTCTTCAAGTTCCAGAGTCAAAGACGAAGATTGAAGAGCTCCGACCTTGAGATCAAGACACAGAGCAATCGGTAAAGCCAAGCGTTTGTGGCCATCGAGATTTATATCGCAGGTAAACCGTACGCCTTTTAGCCTTTAGTCATTTCATTTTCATCTTCTTTAGTCCAATGTCATTATGATCCAACATTTTAACCTGTATTTTGGGAGATTTCTAGAGATTTGTTTTTTTTCTATTTTTGGAATGAATAAATTAGGGTTATTTGGTTATTGTAGTGTCTTAATATTAATTGTGATGGCAGAAGAAAAAAACCAGCATGAGTGGTTGAGTACCTCACTTACCTTTTCATGAGAAAATAATCTGAAAATAATTTGAAGAATGAAGATGACCTGACTACCTGCCAATTTTTGGAGATGTGATCAAAATATTATTTTTTAGAATAATCCACTTGACTCTTATAAATTTAATATTTTACATCTAGAGTGTGGATTTAGCTAATTTGGGTGGAAAGCGTTGATTTAGTCATTTAAGGAGTGGATTTAGTCATACCCTTATTTCAAGGAAACTGTATGTTTTTTTTTTGTCTTAAAAAATAATGATCTTAAAAATATGAATATGCACATGGTGTTGAGATGTAAATATGATGCAAAGAAAATATCTTTGTTATAATTATTGTTTTTCTACTTATTATCAACTTATATTTTAGTTGCAATCGCATTAAAACAACTATATACGCCGTAAGTTATAAAAGGCCCTAAAATTTTCTATCGCACAGGGCCCAATATATAATTGGGCCAGCCCTAATGGAGGGAGTAGAGGAGGAGCATCAGCTGCAGCAGATCTCAACAAAAGGTATTGCAGACGTTGTTTTATACAGTTCACTGTGTTTTATGTTATATAGGACCGAATTTCAGATTTTTGCATACACTATGAATGTTCCATACATGAAATGTCAGTAATTGAAGATGAATAGTTATTACTCAACATTGTGGATATGTCATCTACAATATCTTAAGCTTCACAGTGAAACAAACTCAAACTTTTGCAGTGGAGTAGTTAATAAGAGGGCTTGTAAACTTGTTATGAGTGTGTGATGGATTATTCTAAACTTTTTAGAGTATTTAAATAGGCCTCCTCCTGGAGGATCAAGAGAGACAGTTGTATTGCACCCGAGTACATAACAATATGCAATTGTTTACATTGGCAGTAAGACATTACTTCCCGGTTTAGTGTGACGTTTTTCTGCTCATCAACTTTATCAATCAGATTAGTTTGCTCAACACTAACTCTTTTAACTGTGCCGGCTAAATCTGTTTATAATGAAAAAGACTAGTGCAGAAGTTAATTTTGGTTGAAGTTGTTGAAATGAATAAATATGACAACTCTACCTTTAGCTTTAGATGTTTTGAATCTATAAAGAAGATATATTTTAAATAATATATCCGATAATTTATCATGCATTTCAGAGACTTCAGTTGCTTTATCCATTTCAGCCAAATTAACCCTTACCAAATGGGCGACGTGTTAATATTTTGCCTACTACAACAACAACCTAGTTGAATCCCACAAAAGTAGGGTCTTGGGAGGGTGTGTGTACGCAGACCTTACCCCTACTCGAGAGTAGAGAGGCTGTTTCCAATGAGATCCTAGCTCAAGCACCATATGTAATCACGTAAGCAGCCTCACCCCTATGTTTAAAACATAGAGCGGCTGTTTTTGGATAACCCATGATGAGCGTCGATAGTTGCATTGACTGACTCCTACTTTACTACTAAAAGAAGCACAGACAGTTTAAAGAGTTGCTTTATTGCATCATACCTCAAAGACAAAAAATAATGAATCTTTGGTTCCATAGGAGATGATGAAAACCATATTTTGCCCACTTTGATGGTATATTTGTGCTTATACATTTGAATCTCAACGGTGTGTTGTATGAAGTGCACAAAGCATGTGATGCTGGTTAAATATATGTTTCTCTACCATACAAAGGGCAATAAGTATGCACCTTTTTGTTTCATGCTGTAATTGTTGTTGAAAGCTCACAAGTATATTCTTTTTCTTGTTTTTAAGCAACCTCCTGGAAGGTTGAAACAATATGTTCAATGTGTTGCAGATAATGATGGTGTCAATGAGATTATCACCGAAGGAACATCAACTGTTCATGGAGAGCTTCCCCAAGGTGAGGGTCCTCCAATTGTTGATTCAGAAGTGGAAGTCCTTCATGAGAAAGTAACAAAGCAAATCATCAAGGAAGGCCATGGCCAGAAGCCATCCAAATATGCAACATGCTTTTGTAAGTTCAAGACTAGTCATTATTTCGTTGGGATATACTGCACACTATTGTGTGCGATAGTTATGGTTTAATTGAATCCAATGGTAGTAAACAAAACACACTATACAACAACAATAACCCAATTGGATCGAATGAGAGAAACGAAACACACTATATTTAGAGTTATTAGACAATTCCGTCAGTGAGCTTAAGAAAAGTTATGGACAAGATTAAAATTAAAACAAATACATTGTTTTACTGTTGATTTTTCTTAATATACACAGTTTATCTAAACATTATCATAACATTATGAAGAAAATGTAAGTTTGCATTTTTTCAATTGATGTTCTCTACCATATGGGAAACCATTTCGTGGCAGTGTGCATAGTTATCAAGGTGTCGCCTAGGCGACGCTTAGGCGTCTGGGCGAGGGTTTGGTAACGCCATATTGGTCGCCTAGCTTTTTTTCCCTAGGCGACTGTGCCTAGCTTTTTTTCCCTAGGCGACTGTGTTGTACAGTGACAAGACTTATCTCTCCGTTTATTTGTCGCGGTGCGGCTTCCAGATCTGCGACCTCCACTGCCTCTTTCTATCTCTCTATCATTTAGACTAGTGGACTAGGTCAAATAACTGGGCTGGATTCATTAAAAGACTATTGGACCTTTACACACGAGTATAAGGCCCAAAATTTAATAGGCCTTTTAAAAGCACACTTTATTGGAGTAGGCTTATATATATATGTGTGTGTGTGTGTGTGTGTATATATATACACACACTCTATTTCATAAAGTTGGTATCAGTGTTCATTTTAATTAATTATTTCATACTATATGCTTTAACATTAGTACCTATAAAATTATTATGGTCGCCATAGCCCACTCGCCCAGCGGACGCCTAAGCGGGCGCCTAATCGCCTAGGCGATTGGAAGGTGCTCTAGCGCCCAGCCTCGCCTAGCTGCCATAACAACTATGGCAGTGTGGCACTAGTCAACCCCATCATACGTCAAATTTAAGATGGAAGTCTTAGTGGGTATTTCTCTATGCCTATAAGCTGGTACTGCTTATAAGCATTTTTTAACTAATAAGTCAGCTGATGACATGTTTCTGTATGCTTATAAGTTGACTTATAAGCTGCGTATAAGCCTGAAAAAATAAGGTCTTAGCTACCTCTTTTTAAGTCTGTTTTTTCGTTTCTCCGTTTTTACCAGATTATTTACAAAGCTGTCTCTCACCATTTATGAATATTTACAAATGATTTGTCTATAATTTAAGTCATTTTACTTCCACGAAAGAATATTTGAATTGTAAGCAACTTATAAGTTAAAAACTGCTTATCAGCAATAAGCCAATAAGCACCAACACAAAGAAACACCCCCTTATTGTTTCATCAGTGGCACATTTTTTATTTTTATCATACCACTGTTATTCTCCTTATGTTAATATTTTCACAACAACAACAACAAAGCATTATCCCAAGTAACTTGGGCATGTTTATGATTTTCCAAATTGAACACAACTTGACTTTGTATACATTTCCCTTCCTTTGCCATTGCAAATGCATCAGACTGACATTGATTGTGTTGGTAGTGCATTATAGGGCATGGACAAAAAGCACCAAGCACAAGTTCGAAGATACATGGCTTGAACAACAGCCCCTTGAGCTGGTAATAGGAAAAGGTGGTGCCCACTTGTAAATATCCTTTAAGCCTGAATTAGTTTTCTCACTCTCTCTTTGCTTTCATGTTTCATAAATTATGAAGTATGCCATCTATTCACAACCTATATTTTATTAGTCACCACATAGTTATTGTGAATAATTCCATAATTTTTTAAAATTGTGAACCAGGAGTACCGTAAGTAAAAAGCACACGTAAGGAAATTCAAAGCTAGAACATGATAAAATGCTCAAAATTTTGGAAACAATTATTCACTCAAGGCCAATGGAATAGACGTCCCATCATTTAGTAAAAAAAGATAATTGACTGTGTCTCTTCCAATTCCTGAGAATTCAAGTGACAAAAAGCCAAAAGACATCCTAAATCTGTATCTCTTGAATCAGCCATATGAACCACCGAGAAGAACTGTTATGGATCTGAAGATAGATGAAGAACCCCTCTCTTGCCCTCGACTAATTAGGAAAAATTGTTTAATTGGTTCAATGAAGATTTTATTATTGAGCATACCCCCTCTACTTATACTACTCTCAAAGAGTCTTGGTGAGCAAGTTAATAGAATTCTAACGTAATACAATGATGCAATCGAGAATATTAACTAAAATAGAATACTACAGCTACTACTTAAATATAATAATAATAATAATAATAATAATAATAATAATAATAATAATGATGATAATAATGATAATAATAATAATTTTTAAGAAGGGGGATTTTATTGATAAGAAGATAAGAAGATATACATGGCAAGAGCAGATAAAGAGCAAAACCTAGCTAAGAACAACAAGTAAAACAACTACATCAGATTAGGCTAACTAGGTTTTTATTAAGAGGCCATATAAAGAGGGATCTATTGATCCAGCACCAGGAATGGATCAGGTTGTATCTGGCAAAGCAACTTGTTTCTACTGAGCTTGAGATTATCATATAGAAGGCTGTTGTAGGCTTTCCAACAGCACCAAATGATTAGCCCATGAAGGATCAATCTAAGATAACTTCTCATAATGTTCTTAGAAGAGCTAATCCATCATTGCATAAAATGTTGGAGCGTAAGTCCTGTCTTGTAGAGAGGACCTCCCATTATGGAAGCATAATGGTCCCAAGTCCTGCTAATTTCCTGGTAGTGAAGCAAGGTATGTTCATCGTCAGCTGAATTTCCTCCACAGAAGCCACACATGCTGTGTGCACATGGAGATTGAATTTGAAAAGAAGATTTGGGAAGGGCATACTTTTATTTAAGGCTCTCCATCTGTTAAGCTGAATCTTCCTGAATTGTTTGCTGTTCCAAATAAACTTTGAAGACCATGTATCTGCCAACTTTGAAGACCATTGTAAGCTTCTTTGAAGGAGAAATGATGTATTGGCCACTTCTCGATATCTTCATCTTGTTGGGCCAGTTGGTGTGTTTTGCATATCCTTTTCCAGGAACAAGAGTCATACCCCTTAGGTTTGACATCTCCCTTTCTATAGTATTTACTTCTCATGAAGGAAGCCTGGAGCGCACCACCTGTTTGGATCCTCCACCAAAGCTCGAGAGATGCTGCCTTTTGTATATCTTCAATCATTCTTAGCCGACCTCCTTTAGATATAGGGGTAGAGAGATATGACCATTTCTTCCAGTGGTACTTGTGTTTCCTCTCATATGTTACTTAAAAGTGGAATTTCTTGGACTGAGAGGATATATGTATGGGAATAGCTGATAACACATGTTTGATTAGTATACGTGATACGTCTACCCATTTGATTAAGCTTTTTACTATACCGCCTTTGCATGTATTGTTCAAAATGTTGGATAAGTGGTTGATAGTGGGATTTTTTGAGCGTACCTTTCGCAATGGTACTGCCAAGGTATTTAAATTGCTCTTTACTGCATTTAATCTCTAGGATCCTTTCTCAGGCCTGAATGGTTTTCCTAGCAATCTGTTTTCCGACAATGGCCTTACTCTTTGAGAAATTTATAGCTTGCCCAGATGCTCTCATGTAGGTGTTGAGTGTTGTCTTCAACCTTAATAAGTTCCATTCATCCCTAATCCCTATTAGTAAAAAGAATGAGGTCATCAGCATAATTAAGATTGGAAACAGTCTTCACCTCCAGCATAGAATCCTTTAAGATATTTAGTTCTGATATGATGGTTAATGCTCTTTGTGAGGACTTCAGTGCTGATGATTAATAGCAATGGTGATAGAGGATCCCCTTGCTTAACTCCCCTTTTCATCTAGAAGTAGCCCGCAAGCTGGCCATTAATGAGGACAGAGATGTATATGGATTCCATGTTGCCAAGCAGCAGGTTTCTGTCTATCATCAAAGCCAAATTTGTGGAGCACAGCCCTTAGGTAGGGCCAAAATACCCTGTCAAAAGCTTTTGCCAAGGTCCAATTTCACATTCAGATTATGTCCTCTCACCTTACAACAACAACAACAACCCAGTTAAATCCCACAAGAGTAGGGTCTGGGGAGGGTGTGTGTACGCAGACCTTGCCCCTACTTGAAAGTGGAGAGGCTGTTTCCAAAGAGACCCTCGGCTCAACGTCGAAAGTTGCATTGCTTGACTAACTGCTACTTCATTAATTAAAGAAGCGCAGACAGTTTAGAGATCCATTTTGATTTATTCCATCACACCCCAAAGCCAAAAAATGGTGAAATTTTGGCTCCATCGGAGATGATGGAAATTTATGTCCTCTCACCTTGAATAAAGAATATGCTCCTCAATGCCCTTCCCAGCTTGAAAGGCAGCCTGCTCCAGTGAAATAATTCTTGGCAATAGTGGCTTCAGTCTGTCTGCTAGGATTCTTGATAGCACTTTGCTCAAAAGCGTTGATAGTGAGATAGGCCTGAAATGATCAAAAGAAGACTAGTTATCAATCTTAGGGATCAAAGTCAAGAGAGTTCTTCCAAATGATTTAGGGACTTTAATCCCTAAGATAAATTCTTATACAGCTTTCCAAACATCAATCTGCATAGTCTCCCAAGTTTTTTTTTTAAAAAAACCCATTGTAACCATCCACCCCAGCTGCACTATTTGTGTCCAAGCTCCAAATGGCAGCTTTCACCTCCTCTAAAGATGGCAGAGTGCAAATGGCTAAGTTGTCTGCCTGGGTGATCACAGCGGGGATGTGATCAATGATCTCCTGGAAATTTTCTTCATGGGTGGGAGTGAAATGGTTTTGGTAGTAAGAGCCAGCTGCAACCTTTATCTCTGGGATGGTGTTACAAATCCTCCCCAGCTCATCTTGTATATAGTCTTTGTTTTCTTCCCTTTACAAAGGAAAGGAAAAAGGAAGTAGAGCCGTCCCCACTGTCCAGCCCTTTGATGTGAGCTTTTCATGCCCATAATTCTGTTTCCCTTCTACAAGCTTGTAAGAGAACAGCACTGTCTTGGCAGCTTGACTTGAGCGTGTTCAGCCATTTCCTCAGTATCTTTTACTTTTTGAAAAATGTTTCCAAAAGTATCCCTATTCCAAGCACTAAGAGCCCCTTTCAGATTTTTTTGAGTTTTAAACCAAGCCCCAACATACCACCTCCTTAGTAAGGCACACTCAAATTCTTTTTAACCAGGTCCTGAAAGCCATCATGAGCAGCCCACACATTTAGAAATCTGAAGATCTTTGGACCAGTAAACTCATTATTTTTACAGATGACCAACAGACTTGTGGTCAGATCCAGCCCTACTCAAGTGTTGAATACAAGTGTTATTATAGAACTAATAGAAGTCCAAGAAATGTGGGTTTGCCCAAACTCTATCCAATCGTCTATACTGTGCCCTTTGATCTAGTTCCCATCCAAGTGAAAAGGCCACCTTGGCAAGGAGGAGATGCCAGCCCACATGAAGTAAGACAATCATTAAAGTCATTCGTGCTAGCTAAACAAGGATGAGACTTGCCCTCGTGTTCATCTAAGGAGGCTATGGTGTAAAAGTCACCTCCAACCAGCCAATGATCAGGATCTGGCATATGATCGATAAGGGAATCCCAAAGTTCCATCCTTTCAGCTTTGGTATGCTTGCCATAAACACTGGTGATCCAAATAGCCTTACCAGTACTAACATTATGAAAGCAGCAAGAAATGGCTTGAAAATCAATCTTCCTAATAATAATAATAATAGTAATAATAATAGGAAACTAATACTTATATAGTTATATTACTAAAGAATGACAAATTGTAATAATAGTAATAGTAATAATAATAATATTCTGTAACTAATTAAATATTAAATCTTAGATCCGTAAGACAAACAATATCATTTCCATTGCCATTTTCAATGTATACATGTATATATATTGCCGGGCTCTTGATTCAAAATACATTGCATCAAAGATCGCATGATATTGAAACTATACACTTAATTAAAGTGGTACATTAAACTTCATTTGCTTTACACTTCTTATGATTTTTTGGGTTTTAATGTAACAATGTATTGGAGGGTCTATAAAAGAGTGTACATAAAGAGTTTAAGAAAAGTGAAAAGTGTGGATAAATTATGTTTAAAAGATAGAAATGTTGTTAGCTGCATATTACTTCCCTTGAAAGAAAATAGGAACAATGGGAAGTTGATTTTGGGATAGACGGAAAAGAAAAGTTGTAATTTCTTTTTTGCAATGGATGGAGCAATAAATAATTATCTTGATGTTGATTTTCGGTTATGGTGATAACTTGAAATGCCTTTTAAAATTTCTTAGAGAAAAAAGAAATGACTGGGCTGGCTATTGGTATTTCGGGCATGAGATCTGGTGAACGCGCACTGCTACATGTTGGATGGGAACTAGCATATGGAAAAGATGGAAGCTTCTCTTTTCCAAATGTTCCACCTGAGGCCAGTGTTATGTATGAAGTTGAATTAATTGGTTTTGATGAAACTAAAGAAGTGAGTAATTGCAAAGTTTGATGTATAAGTCTATAAGAGGGTACATTCTATGGCACCAAACAGTACCTCAGTTTATTTGAAGTTGTGTAGGGCAAAGCACGTAGTGACATGACAGTAGAGGAGCGGATTGGTGCTGCTGATAGGAGAAAGATGGATGGAAATGTTTTTTTCAAAGAAGAAAAACTCGAGGAGGCAATGCAACAGTATGAAATGGTAAATGAACTGCAAAATTCTTTAGTGATGCTTTTTAGCTATATATAATTGAGGTTGTAACTGTGGAATTATTATCCATTGGTTGAGCTAGGCCATAGCATATTTGGGAGATGACTTTATGTTTCAATTGTTTGGCAAATACCGGGATATGGCTTTAGCGGTAAAGAATCCTTGCCACCTTAACATGGCACAGTGCATGTTAAAGCTCAACCGCTATGATGAAGCGATAAACCAATGCAGCATTGTAAGTATACAAATTTTCAAAAAAAAGTTTTGAACTCCATTGCCCTCTTTCTCTCTTGGGCTATTAATGCGTATATATTATTTTGTTTCAATGTAGTTTCAAGGATAGATTTCAAAGTTAAAAGTGAGGAAGTTTAATGTATTGACTATGTCTTGTTGGCTAATTACTGAGTAAGATTAGGAATACCCGAAATATTTTAGTTTGAGTAGGAATAGAATGATGGCTACTAGGATTAACTAGCTTACTTGTTGACCAAGTTGGGTTAACACTATAAATAACACAACCAAGTTATGGGTTTTCAAATGAAATTGTATGAGAGTTATTGTAATAGGTTTTGAGTTATATTTTTCTAATATAATAAAAGCGTGTTCTCATCAAATTGTGTGTTTTACTTTGTCTTTGATTGTTACTTTAAAATCAATATGTATTAATATGAGTAAACACCCAAGAAACAGTATCCTTTTCACCTTCTACGCAATGACAAATGAGACCTAGATTGATTGACTTTTTCTGTAAATTGTTAGGTGTTGGTGGAAGATGAAAACAATGTTAAAGCATTGTTCAGACGAGGGAAGGCTAGAGCAGCACTTGGACAGACAGATGCAGCCCGAGAAGACTTCCTTAAAGCACGCAAGTTTGACCTGCAAGACAAGGCTATTGTACGCCAGTTGGACCTGCTCGACAAACATGACAAGGCGGTCTACCAAAAACAAAAGGAACTCTACAAAGGGTTATTTGGAAAAAGACCCGAACCCAAACCCGAGAAGAAGAATTTCCTTGTTGCAATTTGGCATTGGTTGCTGTCTCTGTTTTATCACCTCTTCAGGCACAAAACTGATAAAACCAACTGAGCTGTGAATCTTTCCTTTCACCAAGATCTACATTACGTCGTCATTACATCTGTCAATGAAGACAAATATAGTTTGGACTGTGGAAAGATATCCTCCTTGCTTCTTCTCCCTTACAATAGTCACCCTTATATTGGTTGTGTACTCTTTGATTGTTAATCTTCACAAGTGTCAAACAATGTAATCCGAAATCAGCCATTTTGGTGTCGAAATGGCAAGTGAACTTAATCAAGCATTCCTCTGATACAATTTGATAATAATTGATTTTATTAAATAATGAATCCTCAAAGGATATGTAGGGATTCCTAACTATAGTAGCAATAGTAAATAAAGTAGGAAAAACAAATATGCTAACAACATGGTATAGAAACTCATAATAATACTCCGTATTTCCTAATACGTTTCTTCCTCTTGGAAGCCAACTCGGATTATTTCACCTTCACGCCCCCCTTCGGCTCTTGCTTGTAGAGCTAGACCACTTTGAGAACATAAAAACTTGGTTATTTTTCTTATTTATTTTTCACTTGCGAAATTGATGATGTTTGGGAGGGTCTGGCCTATATTGTGTCAATGATACGATGGCGAGATGGCTTGTCTCCCTTCTTCTAGACCCTGTTTCCTTCTTCTTTCCCTCTTTCTTGGCAGAATGCCGAGGAAGACGTCTTTGTAATTTACAAGGTTAATTGAATAATCTTAAATGTTCATTGTCCAACCCTGTATTGATGTAAATAAAAGCATGGATTATGATTCTAAGTTAACAATGGACAATTGACAATCTCTTAAACTGTGGAAGAAAGTTAACATAATTTATTAGGGTTAATCGACTGAAGAATGTTGGTTAACTAACCTGCTTAGACAATCAGTCCAAAGTTTGGTGAGGATAATTTCGAAGATTATAGGTTGTGTGTTGGGAATCAAGAGACCTAATCTCTAATTTATCGAGAAATATGTGCAAAATTATAAGTGGGTTATTATTATTTTTTTGAGCAAATCAATAATCTTTATGTTTGTAATAAGATTTCAACATAGCATAAGTTTTTACTAATATCTAACACCTTAATTAAAAATCTTCATTTAATAAACATTTTGAAGATCTATAGAATTTTAAATATCAATATATTTAGAAGGATATTTTAAAATCCTAATTGAAAATATTGAAAAAGTAATATAATGTTTTACATCCTAGTTGAATAAACATATATTCCGTATTTTTGACAGTTAGATATGTTTTTAGTCACTGAAAGAATGTTTATTTTGTTTGTTGCCCTTGTAATTATTTTTGTTTAAGTCATCCTTAAAAAATATTATTTATAAAAAATGGTCTTTAAACATAATTAACACTTCTAGTTTGTTGAGATAACATAAAATTATGTATTTAACGCCATAGTCTTTCATTTTTAAAATTACATGCTGCACACTAATGTTTTAAATTATGTCTTTATTCATATATTACATTTCTAATTCTCATTTTTTGGGAATATAATTCAACAAAATTTGAAAATTGAGGATGTAATTATATGAGGGACACAATTTGAGACATATGAGTTGTGTATGAGTAATCCTAATATAATACGGAGTAATATATTATCTCAACAGATTAGAAGTCTTAGTTAGGTTAAAGGACTATTTTAAAATTATAATTTTTTTAAAGATGACTTAAACAAAAAAGTAGATATATATATATATATATATATATATATATATATATATATATATATATATAGAAATCATCCTAAATAGGACTTTCATGTTTTTTTCCCGGAATAGGACTTTGCACTGTGGTAATGTGACTTTGCATTGTGGTAATGTGTCAGTATACATGTGCAAATTACTATACTTTTTTGGTAATGTATATGACCATGTTTGATAATGTAAGTCCTATTTCAGGAATAAAAACATGGAATTCCTATTTTGGTATATTTTCAATGTTTTAGTCCTAATTTGGTCTTTCTTCCATATATATAATTATATTTAAAAAAACATGGTGTAATTATGCATTGGACTATGACTTACTCCGCATTATTTTCAATTTATTATTTTTATTGAAATCAGATCAGATAAAAAATAATTTTAAATACAATTTCAATCACATCAAAATTTAATAGAATGAGATTAGATTGAATCATAAATTGAAGAGAATAAGTTTTTTTGGTTTTCTTTTTCTAATACGTCTTATGAGTCATATCTAAGACACTGGGTAAATTTCACAAATGGTACCTGAACTTTAGCTGGAATTTCAAAGTAGTACCTGAACTTCAAATCCTTTCACAAAAATCCCTGAACTTACACAATCCTTTCACTAATGAGCCATTAGCCCGTTTCTAGGTTAACTTCCGGTCATTAGGGCCAAATTCGAATTTTATATATTTTAAAATTTTCAATTTGACCCCATTTCTTCTTTTCTTTTCTTCCACGCCCCGCCGCCGCCGCCCGCCGGT